CACACGATGTTGAGTTTCATGCTCCATCGAGTAAAAGTGAACTTTGCAGTTGCTCGGTGAGGTCAATAATCCCATCTCAAAAAAAAGATATATATATAAATAAAATAAAATAAAATAAGATCAATAAGAGAACGAAAGAGAAGAAAACAGAAATACACATCGTATAATTCTAAAACATCCGAAGAGGTTAATAATCCAAGAATACGATTCATTGCGAAATTAATCACAGATTCGATAGATGTTCCTCACTCAGTTCCTTCACTGAGAGCTTACATCACGAGCTTTTGGAAACTACCGTAGACAGTGGTATCCAGTATTAACGTGGTATCCAAAAACGTGTGGTATCATAAGTGACTAACAAAAAGCACGATGATATTATTCACAAGATCATTGTAAATTACCGAATTGTACGTGATTAATTACGAAACTACGAAGTAATTGAACATCCCAAAAATCGACAATCGAAATACATCGACACGTATAATTTGGACATTGAATTCTTTATCGAAGAAATTTTTGGTTTACTGTCTAAATGTCTGGTTAACACAAGATGAAGTTTTCATTAATCAAGGAACTTTTCAATTTATTATTCGACCTAGATGAAAGTGAAAAATCGAGAAAATAAGAATTGACTCGACGATTATCATCTATTCGTCACTACATATTTTAATGTAACTCTTTCACGTGGTTTTAAAGTCCTCTATTGTTTCACGCGACATAAAACCTGTTGAAGGATAATTAATGTTCTAAATAAGCGCATATTTTTTGCTCTTTAGTATACGCGTTCGTTTCCGTGCATGCTGTGAATTGACTGAAATACAACTAGTTTTGAGTACATTACCACGTTCATTGACGCAGCGTCACTCATGCGAAATCGCGATGACATCGTATCGTTCGTGTGCACCTATTCCTATTCACAGTCTGATGCCTGACGAGCAACTCATGACAAGTGATTTAACTCGTTGAGACATATTTCCAAAAGACGGAATAATGAAAGGATTTGAATTCTGAATAAACGAGATAGATGTATATGTAGGAAGAAGAGAAGCAAAGCTAATTACGAAGTAATGATTTCGATGATGCATATTGTTGGCAATAATGGACCAGAGGAATCGGATACAGTAATGTGATTATTATAACAAGACAAAACGAATAAATTCGATAAATTATTGATATAATCGACCCTTTGGAATAATAAAAGAAGTTGCATCGATATTTATTAATGATTGTGAAAAGTTGGCATAATTATTCGAATCAGCATTTAACAAACACTTTCTCCACAAAAAATAACAGGAATAATTCATTCTTCTACACTTCCTACCGATTTTTTTTTCTTTTTTTTTTTTTTTTTTTTTTTTTAATTTTTTTTTTTTTTTTGTTTTTT